AGGCGGCCCGCGGGCCGTGTTTGAGGACGCCTGGTCTACACAGTGGTTCGCCTGGTCTACACAGTGGTTCGCCTGGTCTACACAGCGGTTCGCCTGGTCTACACAGCGGTTCGGCTGGCAGTTTATGCGGAATGCAGGGCTCAGCTGAACGGCTGCCATGCATCTCAGTTGTCCAAACGTGAACTCAGAGGCAGGGAACACGTGGGCTTTGGAAATGAGGTGCAAGCACTGGGTAGCACAGAACATTCCTGCTCGATGTCAGGAAAGGCCACCAAAAAAAAAAAAAGGGCAGTTAGTTGTTGTGCACCAATCCGTCAAAAATCAGAGCTCTTGGTTTTTTTCCTGGTCGTCTCTATCCCATAGAGCTCATGGGTAGCTCACCCCATTCCGCGATCCTTAGCTTTCAAATAAAAAAAAAACCCAAAAAAACCTACCAGCCTTCTTTGATGCCTCAGTTTCCCCCATTTCAGGCCACTCCCAACCTCAAAGCCCCCTCGGTACCCTGCCAGCTACACCCAGAATCTGTCCCTTCCCGCCAGGGCCGTGGCTACTGCTCTAGTCGCAGGCACCACGATCGACCGCTGGCCTCCCTGCCCCCGCCCTGGCCTCCAAACCCCACGCTCCATCTAGGAGCCGGAGGGGGTTGCTTTCCAAAAAAGGAAAGCAGACAGGGTCACTCGCCAGCTCCCATGTCGCCGTTCACAGTCCAACAGCACCCAGACGCCTGCCCGCAGCCTGCGAGGCCTGGCACGGTCCGAGCCCTGCCAGGGCCTCCGATCTGACCCACGGCCTCTCCCGGACTCACAGCTTCAGCCACCCTGTCCCCAGCTCTGTTCTGTTTCTGGTTTTCTTTGAGACAGAGTCTCGCTTTGTTGCCCAGCCTAGAGTGAGTGCCGTGGCGTCAGCCTCGCTCACAGCAACCTCAAACTCCTGGCCTCAAGCGATCCTCCTGCCTCAGCCTCCCGAGTAGCTGGGACTACAGGCATGCCCGGCTAATTTATTTTTTCTATATATTCTTAGTTGGCCAATTAATCTTCTTTCTATTTATGGTAGAGACGGGGTCTCGGCCTTGCTGCAGGCTGGTTCGAACTCCTGACCCTCGAGCGTCCTCCGCGCTCGGCCTCCCCAGAGTGCTGGGATAACGAGTGAGCCACCGGCCGGACGTCTTGGAGGATTTAGTCCTTGGAAAATACACAAAGGCTATGGAGACAGTCCAATGTAATGAAATATATATTAAATACGGGGGCCTTCAGACCTTGGAGAAATTCTCACTTGGCTTATTCGCGCCTCCTCCAAACCCCATATCTCTACCAGTAAGGTACCAGCGCTCCTCTCCC